AGGGACCAAATCCTTATAGCAAGGGCAGGGATGGGCAACTTGGACACTGGCTACCCAAAATGGGGGGGAGGGGGAGGTGGCTACAAAGGCAAGAAGTGACTGGCTTACAAGCTTTCAAGAGGGAACCTAGATTCAGAGGGTGTGAAGGAAGGTAGACTCTCCAGTGAGTAGAATCCAACCTGTCTAGGCAGGGCTGATGAAATGAAATGCAGGAGGGTCTCTTGTGATACAATAGTGAATGATTGTTATCAGGACTGCTTGTGAGGGTTGGAAATGTAAAGGTAGACGTTTTGTAGCAAGGAGGGGAGTGATTAAGTTTTCAGTCTAGGAGCCGCGGTCCCTGGGACCATCAAAGGAGAAGAGCAGAGAGGGGGACCCTACCCAGCGAAGCAGTGATGCCTGAGATGGAGGCAGAGACGATGACGTGGAGAGATGGAGCAGTTGGGGATTTTAAACACAGAGAAGGAGAAGGGCTGTGTGTTGATGACCAGGGGGCATGCTTGTATGTAGTGTATACCCTCTGGTTGGTTGATGATGCATGGAGGGGATTATAACCATAGCAATGAAACGATATACGATAGTATTAATTTAAAACTAATGTTCTCCCATGTAAACATAATTCACAATAAAACATTACAAAAAAAAAAGAGAGAATCCACTTTGAGCTCTTCTCCTCTCTCTCTGAGCCAGCTCTTCTTGGAGCCCCCATGGCCTCACTGGTATCTTTACCTAAAGGAGCCAGTTTTCCAGATCCCCCCACCTGACTCCCCTACTGAGCGCCAAGCTCACCTGTCAAATAAATAGCCAAACAGCTCCATCCAGATAAGCCAACGGCACCCCGAAGTCATACTGCCCCAAAGGAAACTTTGCCTATCTAGTCCTTTCTCCCAGATTCCTGACTGCTTTTCTGCTAAGATTCTTCTTCCAAGTGACCTAAACTCAACCCAGAAGGGCTCCCCTGATTCGTCAGCTGAGAAGTGCAGGCAGTTCTACTCCACACTCTCCTCTCTACCCACTCCAAAGCCTGAGCTCAGCCCCTGTAATGGACTGAACTGTTTCCCTTAAAAATGTGTCAACTTTCCTAGGTCAGGTTCTCAGTATTTTACAGTTATCCTCCACTTGTGAGCTGGTGTAATCATATTATGTGTTGTAAATCCTAACCTCTGTGATGCCAGTGAGGACACTCCCCAGTAGAACTGGCCTGGAAGAAACAAGATTCTTCATTTCTGAGTCCCCATCCTGTACTTGAACAATGAGTCCTTAAGCAGGGCTCTCCTTGAGCCAGGTCCCTAAGACAAAGGAGGAGCCTGGTGGTTACAAAGGGCTAGGGCAGCAGGGCTGGAAGAAGAGGGTAGGCAGAGTTCTGGGGACTGGGTGTCAACCTGGCCACAGATGACCCTGAGGAGGGCACAGTAGGGCTTGCCACCGCAAGCCACAGAGACAGGAAGCAATGCAGGACCAATACAGAGGTGGAGCAGCTCTATAAGGGCCCCATCAGGGACCAGGGCAGTAGGAAGGGAGGTGCCACCAGCTGAGGGGCTTGTGAAATGGCAGTAAAAGCACAGATGCTGTGGCGGGAACAGGAAGAAGTACCAGGAGCAGGGTGGTCCTCACCTAAACCAAAACTCCAAACCCACTGCCGCTGAGTCGATGGTGACTAAAATGGACCGTACAGACAGACCAGAGCAGAGCAGCCCCATCAGGCTGTCCAAGCAGTGAGCTTTATGGGAGCGGACTGTCACCTTCTTCTCCTACGAGTGACTGCTGAGTTCAAACCGCCAACCTTTCCGTTAACAACAGAGCACTTAATCGCTGCACCACCAGGCCCCCCAATTAAGGAAAACTAGCCAAAAGCAAACCAACTGCCGTCAAGTTGATTCCAACTCAAGGTGACTCATTGTTGGCGCTGGATGCCACCAAGTGGGGACTGACGAAGCGATCCTGTATAGGTTTTAAACCAGCAACCTTGTAGTTAGCAGCTCAGAGCTTACCCCACAGTGCCACACCAGGACTCCAAAGTAATCCTATTGAGCAGAAGAAAACTGGAAACTACAAGGTTTCCAAGACTGTAAATCTTTATGGAAGCAAGCTCTTATCTTTCTCCTGTGGATTCAAATAGTTGAACTTCAATTAGCAGCCCAGTGCTTAACTCACTGTGCCACCTGGCCTTCGCCTGGAGGGAAGAACTGTCGCTATGGGACTGGAGGGAGCCATTCTTGTGGGCTGGAAGCTCCCAGGGGGCCATGAGGGGGCCAACTTTTGGATACACCTTCTACAAGTAAGACTACAGAAGTAACAAACTCCACCCCCGGCTAAGAATCCACAGCCACATGATGAGCAGGGATGAGGAGGAAGGGAAGCCTTCACACTGGGGAACAGCCCTCCCCGGAAGCATCCAGAGAGGAAAGGGAGCCCCTAAGGATCTTTGTCCAAAGAGCCTGTCTAACTCCTTTCCCCACAGCAAGGTCTGTCCCCTCGCCCAAAGCCAGTAGAAAAGTCCAAAGTTCTAGTTCCTGTTGGGAGGGAAGATAAAGGATGTCCCTAAAAGGCTAAAAATTCCTGGGACCTCTCCATGAAAGCCTGAGAGGCAGCAGCTGGGCTGGGGGTGCAGAGGAGGGGCTGTGAAGGGGAGAGAGTGGCAGAGGCCCAAGGCCCAGGGTCCAATTACACGGCTGTTTCCATACTTAGCCGCCTGGCAGCTGCTCAGAATACGCACCACTCCAGCCCTGCAGCCCCGTGGGGCCCAAATTAACTCAAGGGCAGACAAGGGCAGGGCCCAGCAGCCCAGGCGGCCTTTTAAGCCCCCACCTCACATCTCCAAGAGCAACAGGGATGGATCTGTTCCTGCCTTCTGCTCAGCCCTCCTTGCTGGGATCATGTCCCCTTCTCAAGCAGCAGACTCTCAAAATCAGACAGGCCCCCAAGTCTCGTATGCAAGGAGGTCCCACATGAAAACTCAGGGCTGGGTTGGATGAAGACTGCTACATCACAAAAAGACAAACTGGGGAATCCTGGATTTCCAGGGAGACCCTGGAGCAACCCCTGAAGCATCATCAAGGAGAACCCAGCCCCAGGAGACTTCTAAATAGCAGAGGTGGCAAAGTGACATGGTGTCCCCTCCACAGCCTACAAATAACCCCCAAGCTGTAACCTAAGCCAGCCCCCGGGATACACAGAGCTGATACGTCAAAGGGAAACCGAGGCATGCAGACGCCCCAGACCCCTTCTGGTGAAGTCCCTGACCCTCATCGAGACTCTGCTCTCAAATGGAAACACTGCTCTTCCGCATGCTGAACTGGACGCACCTCAGTTTAACTCCTTACCTCCTCGCTTATTCCACCCTGTGCCCCCAGTGCTCCCTAACTCTGCTGCCACATCCCCCCAACCTCAATCCCGCTCATCCAGGGCTCTAGCTGGTGCAAGACCTCCAATGTCTTCCACCAGGTGGGAGGCCCAACTACCAGACCCCCCCAGCTCTAGGGCTGAGTTCTTCTATCTGTCTCCCAGGCACTTCCAGTCTTGACTTTTGGGGTCCCCTTCCCAGGATCTACCAGCAGGTCCGCTCTCTGCTACTGACCACCTTCTGGCTCAGGCCACCCCCCCACCCCCGCCCCATTTCTGCAACTTTCAGCTCATTGCCTTCCCTGCCAACTTCCCAAGCCCTCTCCAGCTCTTTCCCCACTGCCTGGAGTCCCAGGGAGACAGAACAGTGACTTGGTGACTGCCTAGAGATCAGAGAAGAGGATAGATCTGCCATCAAGTCTTGTCCTTTACCTCCCATAGCTTGCTCCCAGGACCCCAAGTTCCAAGGAGGTGTTGGGGTGGCAGTCAGGCTCTGGCCTGTCAGGGGGCATACATACCTGCTTGTCCTGAGAGAAGGAGAGACGCCACGAAGCAGCAGAGCAGAACCAGCGCCCTCATGGTGACTGCCAAGAGAACCCAGCTGTACCGCGCCTCTATTTATAAGGTGCCAGTAGCAGCGGCCGGCAGCAGCGGCTGTGGGGGGAGAAGGGTCACACAGTCACTAGGGCAACTGGGAGGACGTGATGGGGAAGATTCACAGACCCTGACAGGCTGCTGTCGTTACCCCAGCTGCTAGGATCTGGAGGGCAGGGCCCAGGGTTTGACTCTCTCCAAACTGCAGGACTGGGTTCTCACCTGATGTGGGTCACAGCAGGGGCTCACAGAGAAAAAAGTGGGGTGTGCCTCAGGGTTAGAAACTAGACTCTTCTCAGTACTTGCACCACCTTGGTAACAAATCAGGAGCAAGTCACTGACCTTGACACACCTCAGTCTGAAGGAAGAAATTATAGGGCAAATGGAGAGCTCCTATTTGAGGAACCCTGGTGATGCTGTGGTTAAGTGTTTGGCTGCTAACTGAAAGGTAAAGTTAACAGTTCAAACCCATCAGTCACTCCATAGAGAAAGATGAGGGAGTTTGCTTCTGCCAAGATGACAGCCTTGGAAATTCTATAGGGCAGGTCTATCCTATCCTATAGGGTCGTTATGAGCTGGAATCCACTTGAAAGCAATAGGTTTGGGGATTTGGTTTGGACCTATGCTTTGAACCCCTCTCTCAAATGTCAGGAGAATAAAGCCATATGATTGGCTCAGGAAAACCTGTCACATCTGACCTTGGAGGTCATCCGACCCTGGAGGTCAATAGCTAGGAGCTTATCCTTCTCAGGCCTCTGGAGAGAGAAGAGTGCTGAGCAGAGGGAAAAACGGGGAGCTCGTGGGCACTCCTGATGCTGTGCTGTAAGCCAGAGGCTGGGAGGACAGAGGTCCATTTCCAATGGCACAGAGGAACTCCAGAACGTCCAATCGCCTCTGCAATGGGCTTTGATGCAATTTTCCCAGGAGCACGTGACGGCTCCTGAGAGGAAGCTAGAGTCTAAGGAGCTGAGGGGAGGGTGTCCCTGTCAGGCAAGTAGACAGCAACTGGTCCAGGAGGAAACGAACTACAGGCAAATTAGGCATCTACTGTGTGATAGTCACACATGTAAAAAAGATGTTTTTTACAAAAGGTTTACTGAGCTATAATTGACACATACATGTTATATATTTAGATACATAACATGTATCTAAAACAGATAATTTTAAAAGAGCCCTGGTGGCACAGTGGGTTAAGTGTTATGCTGCTAACCCAAAGGTTAGAGGTTCAAACCACCCAACAGCACTGCAGAAGAAAGTCTTAGCCATCTGCTCCCATAAAGACCACCGTCTGGAGAACCTCCTGGAGCACTTCACCTCTGCCCTACAGGGCTACAATGCATCAGAACTGAGTAGATAGCAGTGGGGTAATGAAACAACATAGTTGTTGGTGGTAAGTGCTGTCCAGTCGGGTTCGACTCACAGCAACCCTGTCTAAGGTTTCTGAGGAGTGGCTGGTGAGTTTGAATTGCCAATCTTGTAGATCAAACTGACCTTGCGGTCCAGTGCATTATCCTACAGCACCACATGACTCTAACAACATATTTGTTGTTGTTGTTATTAAGTACTACTGAGCGGGTTCTGACTTACACTGACCCTGTATAGGGCTTCCAAGGAGCGACTGATGAGTTTGAACCACCGACCTTGCGGTCCAGTACTTCTACAGCACCACACCAGGACTTCAACAACACAGTGCTGTTGCTCTTGTTGAGTGCCGTCAAGTCACTTCTGACACACAGAGCCGCTGGTGAGCTTAAACCACCAACCCTGAGGTTCCAACTGACCTTGTGATCTACGGCATTAACCCACAGCGCCACACCAGGACTCCATAGTAGGAATCTTTAAAGCAAATCACGTTAAGAAGAGATGATTTTCTAGAAATAGTAAAATAGACAATTTGATAAATGTTGGTACAGGTATAAAACTGTAAAGCCCTGACCCCAATCAAGATAATGAACAAATTCCTCAGCACTTTTCCCCAAATTTCCTAATGTCCTTTTGTGATTCCTTCCTGGTACCACTTCTCAGGCAACCACAGACGGGCTTTCACTACGCATTAGCGTGCATTTCCTAGGTTCTGCTGTAAAAGGAACCAATGACTCTTCTTTGTTCTTATCCTGCTTCCTTCTCCTAGCAGTTATTTCAAGATTCATTCATGCCGTAGTCTACATCAATAATTCATTCCTTTTTTATTACTACGTAGTATTCCATTGTAACCACGACAATTTAGTATCCATTCATTTCCTGATGGACATTTGGGCTGTTTTCAGATTTGGAATGTTACAGACCAAACAATTCATTTCTCTTGGGTATAAACAAAGAGTGTAATGACAGGTCACTGTCCTGGCATGAACTGTGTCCCCAGCTATGTGTCAACTTGGCTGGGTCACGATTCTCAGGGGTTGGCAGTTATATAATGGAATGCGGAAGTTACATGATTATGTCCTATAATGTGATCTGACGTGCTAAGCCAGTAAGAGGATTAAGGATGAGCTGAACAACCCTTAACCCTAGGGGTGTGCCCTGCAACACCATTATTTTATAAGAGATGAAAAGAGAGACAGTGCTCAGAGAAGGAGAACCTACTACACCAAGAAAGACAAGCCAGGAATGAAGCTCTTCTGTTGCTGTTGATAAATGTTGTTGAGTAAGATCCTGTATAGGGTTTCCGAAGCGGCTGGTGAGCTTGAACCACCAACCTTGCAGTTCAAACCAATCTTGCAGTCCAGCACATTAACCCACAGTGCCACACCAGGACACCATGAAGCTCCTTTAGATCCAGAAAAGACTGATGCCAAGACAAATGCTTGGGCCTGCTGCTGCTGAAAAGAGACAAAAACCATTCTTCGAGCCGGCGCTCTGAATTCAGACTTCTAGCCTTCTAAACTATGAGAATAAATTTTTGTTCGAGTCAGGCTGCTAACTTCAAGGTCAGCAGTTCAAAACTACCAGGAGTTCTGCAGGAGAAAGACAAGGATTTCAGCTCCCATAAAGATTTATAGCCTCGGAAACCCTATACAGGGTGGCTGAGTCGGAACCTTGTCCACGACACACTACTACCAATGCCACCAAAGCTACTCACTTGTGATATTTCTGTCATAACAGCACTAGATAATGAAGACAGCCACACAGGAGGGATCTGCCTAACGGTTTTCTAAACTGACTGTGCCATTTTATATTTTCACATTCCTCCACATTCTCAACAACACTCTGCATGGTGTTTTTAACCCAGTCATTAAAATACATGTGTCATGGCGTCTCCATGGATTTATAATTCATTATGCATCCCCTTCCATGTATTTTTTTGCCATTCATATTCTTTTCTTTGAAATATCTGTTCAATTATTTTGCCTACTTTTGTGGGTTGTTTGCTTTCTTTTATTTAGAGTTTTGAGAGTTCTTTATATATTCTACATATAAGTCCTTCGTCAGATACATTTGCAAATATTCTCTCTCAATCTGTGGTTCTCCTTTCATTCTCTGAAGAGTGCCTTTTGAGAGATGAAGACCCTAATTTTGATGAATTCTATGAGACTTTCTGCTCCCAAAAAGATTTACAGCCTCGGAAACCCTATACAGAGTCTCTATAAGTCAGAGCCAACTTGACGTCACTTAACAACGTATTCATTTATTCTTTTATGAATTATACTTTTAGTGCCATATCTTTTATGAATTATTTTGTCTAACCCAAGGTCACAAAGATTTTCACATTTTTTTTTCTGGAAGGGAAATTGTTGTCTATTGTATTTTTAGGTTTATGATCCATTCTGAGTGAATTCTGTGCGTGCTACAAGATATGGATCGAAGTTTACTTTTGAAAGCATACGGATGTCCACTTGCTCCAGCACCATTTATTAGAAAGACGATCTTTGCTCCATTGAATTACGTTTTGTACCTTGACTGACAGTCAACTGTGACCCCCTATGTGTGAATCTATTTCAGTTCTGTGCGTCTACCCTTTCACTAATCCCACACTGTCTTGATTTCTGTAGCTTCCTGTTCTGTTGTTGTGGGGTGGTGCAGTTGAGTTGGTTCCAGTTCATAGTGATCTAATGAACAACAGAATTAAATACCCCCCTCCTCACTACTGCTATGTTGGAGGTCACTGCTGCAGTCAGTGTGCCAATTCCGCTTGCTGGAGGCCTTTCTCTTTTTCTCTGACCCTCTTCTTGCCAAGCATGAGGTCCTCTTTCAGGGACTGGGTCTCTCCTGATAACATGTCCAAAGTATGTGAGACTAACTCTCATCATCCCGGCTTCTAAGGAGCACTCCGACTGCACTTCTTCCAAGACACATTTATTTGTTCTGACAATCCACGTTACCGTCAATATTTTTTGCTAACACCATAATGCAAATGCATCCATTCTTCTCCATGGCTTTCTAGTTAAGTCTGAAATCAAGTTATTTGAGTTCTCTAACTAATTTCAAAATTGTTTTTACTATTCCAGTTACTTTGCATTTCACATGAATTTTTAAATTGGCCTATCAAAAAAAAAAAAGATGCTTTCTTGGAATTTCATTAGGATGACATTGAATCTATAGATCAGTCTGAGAAGCACTGCCAAGTTATCAGTACTGAGTCTTCCAGTCTATGTACATAGCTGGAGGAAGGGTTTTGCTGTAAGAGGAGAAGGCAGCAACTGGTCATAAAAGAGAAAAGTTAACAGAAAGTAAACTAACCATCTGTTATGTTATACATACATTGAGAGGTCGGTATATCATCACCATTTTACAACAAAGAAACTGAGGCTCAAAGAGAAAAAGTACCATGCTTAGTATCACACAACTAAAAACAGAGTTGTCTGAACTGCAAGTGTCACAGATTGAATTATTTCCCCTAAACCATGCATTCGAGTCCTGGCGTGGCACTGTGGGATAAAGCACTGAACTGCAAAGTTGGTTTGAACCACAAGGTCAGCGGTTCAAACTCACCAGTTGCTCCATGGAAACCCTGTACAAGGTCAGTATGAGTCGGAACTGACTCGACAGCACTTA